CTTTTAATAGCTTAGTAAGTAATGGTACTATTAGAGTAATTTTAGAACGTAAGAACACTTGTCCTTGCTTAGTCAATATTTTTTATATCATATGATTAGCATAATGTCGTCCATCGAACAATACTTATGTAATAAGATACCCTGAAACACAGGTTGAAATAAATCTAGTTCAGGTGTTCCCTAGGCACTTTACATTTCAAAGTTTATCTCTTTCTATAAGTTCTATTCTTCTAAGTTTCTATAGTTTAGTCTTTCTATAGTTTCTAAGTTAACTCTTTCTTATAAAGGTTAAAACTTATTATTACTTAAAACAATTGAGCTAGCTCTATAAAGTGTGATCTTTGTTTTTCAATAAATTTTTCGTTCCTTTCACGGGACCACAGAGTTCCGGACCTTTGGAAGGCATACGAGGAGCCGTAGCCAACCCGCAGAGACCCGTTGAACAATTTTAATCTAAAAGTGCACCCAAGGACAATCCCCGGCAATAAATTTTATTACTTATAGGTCATGGGCAGCGCCGCTTGCCTGCCACCAGGTGACCCATATGCCCTTTAAAAAACTTCGGCTTTTCACATTTTCCTCAATATATCATACGAGTATTTTAAAAGAAAATAGTATGATCAATCATTCCTCGAGACGTGTTCTTATCATTTCTTATCGATCAAATTGTTTATCACTATGATTCATGTTATGTTAACCTATTTGGACACGTTTACTTGGAGTTGACAATTTTTTATTGCCTTTTTTTTTGCTTTAATGTTGGTGGTTCGTTCGTCGCGTTGTTCGGAATTAACGGGAGTGGGTTTTTTTGTGAGGGGAAAATCATCAAATGACTTCTCCCGCCTAGGGTAAGACGAGAGAGAGTCAGACTCTTACTGACTAAAAACCCACTCGTTCCTTCTCCTGCCCTGGGTCGAGGTCGCGGTGCCTCATTGCGCTTAACCCGCAACCCCTGCTGAACATCAGCCCTATAGGGTCTGTGGTAATTTTACTGTCCTGAAATGAAAAGGTTTTTTAAAAGGGAATACCATGGCTGTAAGAACTGTTTTATAAGCTACTACTAGCTACTCTCACGCGGTTTCACCCGCTGCTCGGCTCCATTTGATCGTAACGTGATGTTTATAGCCTATAGCACTCAGGAACATTGTAGCTATCTATCAGTGAAAGAATTTTGGCAATCCGACCAGCGGTACTAAAGATTACCCCCTACATAGAAACTTACAAATTTTACCTCTTTATAATATTAGTATAGAAGTATAGATAACAGTTTCACATACTCACACTAATGTTATCAGTATAGAAATATAGAACATTTGGGATTAATTGTTTAACAACACACATTTAAGTGTGGGAGAGCCATGCTTCGGCACGAATGGGTCGGCTCGACCGTAGCTATATCCCGGACCACGGCTTCACAGAAAACCGGCGTGAAATAACCACAGCGTTGTGTTTCGCCGTGTGAGTGAGATTACCGGAGGCCCAATCCCTCGCCCTTCCCCTCCTCCTTCACAATCGTTAAATATCCGAAACCTTTATCCCTAAAAGGCCGGCCTAACCCACTCGTAACTCCTTCGGTGTTGCGGGTGTCCATGGGCGGCGCTGATTGCTTATCATCGGGTAACCCGTCTGCTCGTTTGCCGATATAAGGATGATTTTTCCATATAAATAAAATTGAAAAAAAGTGACATTCTTAAAAAAACAGGTGTTGAAATCTAAACCTGTTTTCGTTAACATAGGACACATAATTCCTTATCACTGTAATCCCATGACAAATACTTGTGATAGTACTATCAAGTGAATTAATAAGAGTCGCCGCGATAGTAATCAATTGACATATTGTTATCGCGGATATTCTGTTGTTGATTGCTGTGGACACTTTAAGTTGGTATTTCAAGGGGGTCATAGGAATAGATTTTTTATTAATAACTTTTCCCCGCACTAGGATTTTCTCCTGTGCCGTGGGTGCGGTTATAAACATACAATTTTACGTACACATCACACCCAGACTCGTAACAACGATTTGTGGATCACACTTTAAGTGTGGGAGAGCCATGCTTCGGCACGAATGGGTCGGCTCGACCGGAGTGATACCACGGCCTCGCAGAAAACCGGCGTGTAATAACCACAGCGTTGTGTTTCGCCGTGTGAGTGAGGTTACCGGAGGCCCAATCCTTCCTCAATCCCTAAATCTCCAAATCCCTAATCCCTAAAAGGTCGGCAACGCACTCGTAACTCCTCCGTTACGAGTGTCCATGGGCGGCGCTGATTACTTACCATCAGGTAATAAGTTTGCTCGTTTGCCGACCTATTACATAAAAAAAATAAAGAGTTGTTCCGTGTAGGATCGTACCCGCGACACGTTTCACGGCAGCCAATGCCTAGCCACCGCGCCAGTCGTGCGATCTTCTTCTTTGTGTGATCCACAAATTATTGTTCCGGGTCTGGGTTTTTTTTTTTTTGTAAGGGGAAAATCATCAAATGACTTCTCCCGCCCAGGGCCGGGCAGGAGGGAGTGTCAGACTCTTACTGACTAAAAACCCCCCCTGTTCCTTCTCCTACTCTGTGCCGAGGTCGCGGTGCCTCATTGCGCTTACCCCGCAACCCCTGTGTATGTGAAATTGAATGTTTGTAACAGCACCAACGATACGGTAGAAAATCCTAGTGGGACGCAACGTTTTATTAAAAAAAAACCGCGTGGCTTACCTAGTTTATTATGTCCAAAAATAATCCAGTACCTACTGGAAATATTTTGGCTAGTTTCAGATACGTGTCACGCACGAAAATGTCGTAAAATGTACATTTAGTTTAGGAGACCGCTACTGCCTTATTTTTTTCATCTTTGTTTGTGATTTGTTTTTTCACGCCTGTAACTGTACCTATGCAAATGCTAAGCTTCACGACGAATCACCTAAAATGTAAATAATAAATCTAACCAATAGTATAGTGTTGCTTACCTCATAAAAATCTGTTCAGTAGTTTTTGAGAAAATCACCGAAATGTATGTACCTATGTATATGACAGTAAACTAGATTTTTATTACAACACCGAAAATCTTATTATGTTTTTGACTTTGAAGTAATAATTTATTTCAACTAGACTACTTACAGGTACTTTTGAACGTCAAATAAAGCTTTGAGATAAAAAAAGTGTTAGTCTATCGGTCAGTCCTCTTAGTGAAGCTATTAGCTCGTTCCAAAGTCTAAATTCCGATGGAGAAGTACGAGCAAAAAACTCCGTGGTTATTCTTTTTCAACCAGTTCCATATACAGATTATTTGCTACATTGCAAAGTTGATTTATGAAAAGAAGTTTGTCTCAATATGTCGGTCGGTCCTCTAGTAAAGCGACTCCCTTATACCGATTCTGCGAGCGATTCAGTAGTTTATAACCTCCGACGGAAAAAGAGGGATGTTATGAGTTTGACGTGTCTGAACGGACGAAGTAATTTCAATTTAGTTTTTAAAATCAAACCATTATTAAGTAAAAAACATTTATTTGTATCAGGAAAAATATTTAGGGAAGCGATAACGATGTATGGAAACCGATATGAACTGGCTATTTATCGGAATTATTCATTTTCTATGATTTTGTCAAATATAGATTTTAATCTAATGTACATACGTGTGTGTCATAAAAACATCCGTATAATGTTTTTATTGAGTAAAGTACATAATATGCTACGTGAAATTTTATAACGAGTAAGATATTCTTTTGTTTTATTTGGTAATGGGCAGGCATTTGAGCGCTTTTACGCCTGGTGGCAATGATGTGACTTTCGATGAAGCACGCCTACTCAAAAACAAACTATTCACTCGGGCCTTGAAGATGCACCGGTTATATCTTCGGGAACACAGAATTCGGCAAAAAAAATCTGCTCCTTAGCGGTCCTGATAATAAAACTGGAGGCGAATCGCTTCTTGTGTGTCTAGGAATTGTGGTAGATGTGAGGTTAGAAATATAAAAAAATAACATTATTAAGAAAAAACAATAATAAACTAATTTAGAAGTAGTGAGCATGACATTTTCTTCAAAGGAATAGAATCAATGAAATTATTATAAAAAATAGTTTAGATTACTATTTATTCTATTTCATCATCAACCTGATTCCGTCCACTGACTGCTGGGCCTCCCACGCACGCCATTGAGCTCGATGCAGGTCCTATTGTAACATTCATTATCATCACCATCATCATCCTATAAGTGTCCACTGCTGAGCAAAGGCCTCGTCTCGCACGGAAAAGGATTGAGTATTAATTAACACGCTTGCTTAATGCTGGTTGGCGATTTCAAACTTATAATTAGATATAGTCCAGGTTCCCTCGCGATTTTTACCTTCACCGTATGTCAGTGGTGTCTAAATATTCATAGAAAGTACATATTACTCGGAAAAAGTCACATTGGTACTTGCCAGGTTTAGAACCTAATGCATGAGAAGCCTTAACCTTGGGGCAACCACGACCTATATTATATAACATTATTTTAAATTTAAATTGCGATATTCACACTTAAAAAAATACTACCACACGCACTCAACAAAAGTCGACGTGAGATGACGACGAGTTCACAATCTCGAGCTCTCAGACTATACAAGCAAATGTGTCATATGTGGCGTTGATTTATTATATAGCCGTTAATTGAAACACCTTGAGTTCAACCAGTGTTTTACAGACCTCCGTAAAACAAACAATCGTGGAAGATTTTTCTATAGACACTGTAATAAAAATATCTATGTGAGATTCTTCAGGAAATTGTCTTTCGAAAAAGTGCTGTGTTTTGTGCGTTTTTGAGGTTGTGAGTGGTTTTTCTCGATACAGGATCTGTTGTAGGAAAATTTTGGTGTTTTCAATTCGTTTATTACATGCTGAGTTATTTTGTAAGGCATAAAGAAATATCTCCTCTGATATTCTGAAGCAATTGGGTTGTATAAGCGTTTTTAAAAATTCTTTCTTTGTGAAAGTACCTCAATTAGCCTTGAAAAGAACTCCAAATTGGATATAAATTCATTTTTGTCAGTGAAAAGTTTGAATACAACGCGATGTCATCCAAACTCTTCAGCCGCTTAGCGCAATTAGGCGCCGGAATCGTGATCACAAGCGGAGTAGCTAACAACGCGTTGTATAACGTCGACGGAGGCGAAAGAGCCGTCATCTTCGATAGATTTAAGGGTATAAACAATCAAGTTATCGGCGAAGGAACACATTTCATCATCCCTTGGGTGCAAAAACCAATTATTTTCGATATTAAATCAAAACCTCGTAACGTTTCCACCATAACCGGGAGCAAGGACCTTCAACGAGTCGAAGTGACCTTGAGAATCTTGTTCAGACCAGTTGCGGATGAATTGCCAAACATTTACACGACCCTAGGAGAAGATTATGACACCAGAGTCCTACCATCGATTACTGGTGAAGTTCTGAAAGCAGTTGTCGCTCAATTCGATGCTAGTGAACTGATAACACAAAGAGAAATGGTATCTTATAAAGTCAATGAGAATTTAACCGAAAGAGCTAGACAATTCGGTTTGATTTTGGACGATATTGCCATTACACATATCACCTTTGGCAGAGAGTTTCTTCAAGCGGTTGAGTTGAAACAGATTGCTCAATTAGAAGCTGAAAAAGCAAGGTTTATGGTCGAAAAAGCAGAACAGAAGAAGAAAGCAGCAGTTATCTCTGCAGAAGGAGATTCTCAGCAAGCGGTTCTGCTTGCGAAGGCTTTCGGGAAAGCTGGAGAAGGTCTAGTGGAGTTAAGAAGGATTGAGGCGGCAGAAGACATAGCTTACCAGCTTTCAAAGTCGAAGAATGTCACTTATCTACCTGACGAGGGATTGGTGAACCTCAAAAATTAAGATCTAGGTTTGTTCTATGGTAATTTATTAAATACTAGTTTTTGTCCGCGATTCCGTTCGCTTGGAATAGTGACTCTCTGCAGATTTTTGGTATAAAAATTATCCTATGTCTAATATACCTACTATAGATTTATTATCTTCGCCGATCTTTCTAGAACTAAACAATAAAAAAAAATCGATACAAGTTCAAGGTGACTTATAAATTAATTACTCACTTAAATATCTTATATACTTCCCAAGTAATTTATAGCAATGATAAATATTATCTCTTGGATTTCAATGATAAAATTAAGTACATTATTGTGTATTTACACAAATTTTACTGTGATGTACCGATTAGTACGTACGTATTGATTTTTTATCGTAAGTAATTATAGTAATACATCAATATCATCATCAGCCACAAAACGTCTCCTCCTGGACGAAGACCTCCCCTTTAGTCGCCACTCGCATTCATTGGCTCCCCGTGAATCTGACGGTGTCAATGATCTGCCTATCAGAAGGCACGGGTCTTCTGATCTTGAAGTAGATACGTTCTGTGTTCTCCGAAGGGTTTAACCTGGGTATCTTAAAGGTCCGAGTGAATAGGTTGCTTATGCAGGTGCTCCTTCGTAGGTCGCATCAGCGCTTACCACCAGGCGTGATAGCAGCCAAATGGAAAAAATAACATGGTTTATATGTAAGGAACCAATGTCAGCAAAGGCCTCGTCTGACTTGGAGAAGGTTTGAGCATTGCACAACGCTTGCTGAATGCAGATTGATGATTTCAAATTAAAGCGTCTTAGAAAAGGCCTTTGCTCAGCAGTGGGCACTTATAGATCGATGATGATGATATGACGTTAGGCAAGAATCTCTCAGTTCCCAGTGCTCATTTTTGGTGAAGTAAAAGAAAGAAAGAAAGAAAGATATCTTGGCACATACATATTTGGCACACAGATACACACAGTGTAGAAAACTACATATTAAACAATAGTGAAGGAAATGAAAAAAAAACTGCGTGTCTCTCGGCTACACCAAATAGGCCCATGTTTAGCGAAAAAAATAATGCCAGACTACGTAACCACATACGCTTGTTAAACAGAAAAGAGACCTAACTCAAAAGATAAAGTATTTCAATCTTAAAAATTATGCTTCAATAATAAGGTTCAATTTTGGAATATCCTCATTTTTGAGTTAGGCCTTTTTTTTTATTTAACACGCGAATTATGTACATTGCCTGACGCTGGTTTTCAACTGAACCAGTATCAAATCACGGATCGTGCTCAAGGTAGATTGGTCATTTCAAACTTATATGGAAATTAAAAGTCTAGATTTCCTCGCGTTTTTCTTTACCATGTGTCAGTGGTAGCTAAATAGACTCGGAAAAAGTCACATTGGTTCTTTCTTGCCAGTAGTTCATCATCATCATCAGCCTATAAGTGCCCACTGCTGAGCAAAGGCCTCTTCTCACACAGATAAAGTTTGGCCATTAATCACCACGCTTGCTCAATGCGGGTTGACGATTTCAAACTTATAAGTCCAGGTTTCCTCACGATGTTTACTTTCACCGTATGTCAGTGGTGTCTAAATAATCATAGAAAATACGTATAACTTCGGAAAAAGTCACATTGGTACTTGCCAGGTTGCGAAACCTCGCCACACCCTCATGCATGAGAAGCGGGCTCCTTAACCTCGGGGCCACCACGACCTTCACCGCCAATAGTTCAACTGAACCCTAAAAAAAGTAGACAAGTCAATGAGAATTTTTCATAACGCACAAGTTGTGTGTCTAGAAATGTTAATAATTGATTCGATTGACACCATATGGCTGTAAGGTCGTCTGGTTCACGTAGTTAGAAAAGTAATTTAATTAACTCTGTGATTATTAGACTAGGTACCACTGTAGAGCAGCTGGACCGCGAAGCGAAAAAATATTCGCGTGGATTTCGTTTCGCGCCGCGTCGCGTTTTTACCGCGGCCTCCTATAAGGCACCGCGGCCTCCTATAAGGCACCGCGGCCTCGGCCTAGAGGAGGAAAGGGGTGAAAGTCCCTCTCCCCATACCCTGGTCTTTTTTTTGTGAGGGGAAAATAAAACCCCCCTGTTCCTTCTCCTGCTCTATGCCGAGGTCGCGGTGCCTCATTGCGCTTACCCCGCAACCCTGGCTGAACATCAACCCTATAGGGCCCCGTCTGTGGTGGTCTAATGGCTCTTTGAGGCGCGCGCGGAACGCTACGCGCCGTACGCTCGGGTCTGGTTCTGGTCGGGCGGCGAGCTGCCCCATACCCTGGGCTAGCGTCCGGATTTTGTTTCGCGTCGCGTCGCGTCTTTACCGCGGCTTTCAATGAGATATCGCTGCCTCGGCCTAGAGTAGGATTAGGAACGGGGGTTTTTAGTCAGTAAGAGTCTGACAGACCCTCTCTCCATACACTAGGCGAGCGACCGGATTGCGTTTCGCGCCCCGTCGCGTCTTTACCGCGGCTTTCAATGAGATATCGCTGCCTCGGCCTAGACTAGGATAAGGAACGGGTTTTTTTTTTGGCAGTAAGAGTCTGACAGCCCCTCTCCCCATAGCCTGGGCGAGCGTCCGGATTTCGTTTTGCATAGCATCGCGTTTTTACCACGGCTTTCAATGAGATATCGCTGCCTCGGCCTAGACCAGGATAAGGAACGGGGGGGGTTTTTAGTCAGTAAAAGTCTGACAGTACCTCTCCCCATACCCTGGGCGAGCGACTGGATTTCGTTTCGAGCCGCGTTGCGACTTTACAGCGGCCTCCTATAAGGCACTGCTGCCTCGGCGTAGACCAGGAGAAGGAACGGGGGTTTTTAGTAAGATCACCTGGTGGTAAGCGATCCACGTCGTCCATGGATACCCGTAACTCTAGAGGAGTTAGGACTTCGTTGTCGCCCATTTGGAGGTTAGGGTTTTTAGTCTATACTAATATTATAAAGAGGTAAAATTTGTAAGTTTGTATGTAGGGGGTAATCTTTGGAACCGCTGGCCGGATTGCCAAAATTCTTTTACTCCTAAATAGCTACAATGTTCCTGTGTGCTATAGGCTATAAAACATCACGCTACGATCAAATGGAGCTGAGCAGCTGGTGAAATCGCGCGAGGGTAGCTAGTTATTTATTAATAAGGAAAACTAGTTTAGGATAAATGTTCGTAGCTGATTAAAATTTTTATTGTATTTTACATTTCATACCTATTTTTATGTTGATTTTCCTTCCTCTACGTGAGTTTTTTTTTAAATTTTATTTACGTAACATTATTTCAAACTAATTATTCCCGCGATTTCACTCGCTGCTCGGCTCGTATTGGCTGTAGCGTTATGTTTTGTGGCCTGTATAGCCTTCCTATATAAGTGTTATAATATCCAATAATAAAAGAATTGTTCAAATTGGACTTAGTAGTTTCGGAGATTAGAGCGTATAAAAGTTGTAATTTAGATATGTATATCTGATTGAAGTTTGCAACATATATTAATATATTTTAATTGTTACATAGTAGCTTCCGTACGCGGCCTCGCCCGCGTGATCTATAATATAAAAATGAATCGCAAAATGTGTTGGTAAGCGCATAACTCAACAACGACTGGACCAATTTTGCTAATTCTTTTTTTGTTATGTTCGTTATTTTTATGTGAAGGTTCTTACGAAAGAAAACTTTAGAAAAGTATAGGGGAATATCGAGAATTAACAATCATTTCGATGCTGTGGCCGTTTGTTAAAAAAACAAATGACTGACGGGGTAGTCGGATACCTACCGGTGCGAAGCAGCGGTCCGCTAGTATGATGATAAAAATCAACCTACATACCAAAGTTCAACCGAATCGGTGCAGCAGTGTCAAGCAGTCTGAAGGAATTACAAACAAATATTATAAAGAGGCAAAGTTTGTATGTAGGGGGTAATCTTTGGAACCACTGGTCGGATTCCCAAAATTGTCACAAATTGTCATTCCAAAACTCTTTCACTGATAGATAGCTACAATGATCCTAAGTGATATAGGCTATAAAACATCACGCTACGATCAAACGGAGCTGAGCAGCGACTGAAACCAAGCGGGAGTAGCTATTTGAAATATAATATACTAAAATCACCTTATATTTTTTTTTATTTGGAGTGAATAAAATAAATTCAAAAGACAAACAAAGTAAATTCAAACAAGTATAGTTCGTTCCATAATTAGAGACAACGATTTGACATTTCGAGTGTTGCATGTTTTTTCCATTTCATAAATAGTGAAGTCCCGCGACCGGTATTAACCGAAAGACCGAAAATCATTTGTAAATAAAACTATTAACTATTAGCATTGATATAATATAATTATTTTACAAGAAACTATGATTAGCTTTGGCATTTCGTCACAGCAATTTAACAGATGGAATGTCAAACATAATTTAAGCCTAGAAATACGTTGGTATTGGTTTCTATAATTATAAAAATAATGTCTATCAGTCAGATTGTAATATCGCTCCTATCCGATCTCTAATCTCCTCATATTGCTCCGAGTTCATTTATTTGTGATAATCTTCAAGTCCTTTCTACGCTTCATATATTAATAACTAGGTACAATTATACTATGAAAACATCCCCGCAACTGTATTTTGTTTTGTTCAGAGTGATTTATAAAAAAACGGTATCGGTATTTTAAAACACCGTACTCGGGTCCCATCACTATGTTAAAAAATCTGGCCACATTATTTTGTAGTTTGACATTTGCTGTTGTCAAATTGTTGTCTCTAATTATGGAATGAACTATAATTGACTAGAATTAACTGAGAAAAACCCTACGATACTAGTTACAAACATACATCCATCAAACATTCATGCAAACTTTCAAATTTATAATATTATTAGGATAACACTAACAATAATTATTTTTGTTACAGGATAAAACAATCATTTTCCATTTCCTATATATTACTATAACTTCCTTTTCCATTCCAAATACATAAAGCAATCTTCCATATAAATGTTTATTATTTTAGATAAAATAAATTATAATAATTATTATAGATAATTATTCTACCCCTAAATTCCTTTATTCATTCCACTTTAATTGTTAAATTATTAAAATAAAACGAATGAATATAAAATATTTAGATAAATTAATTGATAAAATTAAATATTATGTAAGTTAGCAAAAGAGTAGAATTTATATTTTATTATTACATATTATTATAGATTTATTATTAACAACGAAAATAATAATTTATGCAATTTATTTTTTAATAGCAACGAAGCAATAATAATATTAAAAATAGCAATAGCAAAATTTTTTCTTTAAATAAATTAGACCCCATTCGCTTCGCGGATAATTTTGACCCCAGACGCTTCTTGGGTTTAGGAGGTCGCCCTATCCAATCCTATGTTGTTCCTATAGCATTTGTCATACCCCCAGCGACATGATATCCATTATAATTTGACCCCAACCCCACGATGTCGTCGTCCCCAGCCGTGGAGCCATCATCTCCCTCCACGACCCCGTCCTCTCCTGCACTAAGAGCTGACTGCGCGCAATTCCACTCTTCTACCCCCTACTTCACTGGACGGGTAAGTAATCTTTTTCTTCTTTTTTGTGTTTGGTCTTCAATCGAGCAGACGGATTATCTGATGGTTAGCTATCGGCGCCTGCTGGAGATCTGGAAATACTTTATGTGAGCAGATGCTTTGCTGGTGAAACGCTCAACCTGCTGTTCAGCTCAGGTATAGACTGATCGCAGAAGATAGAGAAAAGAAAAAAAAAAACATAAGAATTGAGAACCTCCCTTGGAAGTCGCTTAAAAAATCAGGCAACTCGTTCCTTGAAAGTTTAACATAGAATTGAGCGTCAATTATTATATATTATTATTATAAGATTTGAAGTTTAGTAAGATGTCTTATGATTAGCAGAAGGCGCCACAGCCCCCCCTCAACGTGGTACTCCCAGTTACTGCACCAGCCACACCTCCTACCTACGGTAAGTTTAAGAAATGTGAAAATTGTTGAAAACAAAAATTTGTATCTAAATCTACCTAGTAGTTCTCGAGTTTATCAGGAACAGACTGACAGAAAAGAATGTGTTTTATAAATTGTATGGTTTGCTAAGTGCGAATCCCGAGAACAGCTAAACCGATTTCGTAATTTTGTTTAACACATTCAGTGCCCCCGACGCGTATGTGCGTTTCCTCGCACGCACATACGCGTCGGGGGCACTGAATGTGTTAAAAACATGAAAATATTATGAAATCGGTTCAGCTGTTCTTGGGGCTTAAGCATAAACATCGGTGTTCGTCTTTATTTCCAGGTGAGGCCACGTTGACGCCACCGCCAAGATCACCCGGGGTGCCAGCGGTCGCCAGTCCAGCTTCCGCGTCCGGGGACGCACGGTCCCATCCCCCAGACGGCACATCATCAGATAAGGTAGGATTTGTCATCTATCTAATATTATATATTTAATTTTTTCCACGTATAAACCTTGTCTGGACTTCCACGAATAATTCAAGACCGAAATTAATCGGTAAAGGTATTGTTTAGTTATGACATTACAACGAAAAGTGGCATTGAATTTTATTATCTTTATCTTTATATATAAAAATTTAGTGTCACGTGTTTGTCCGGGATAGACTCCTAAACTACTAAACCGATTTTAAATTTGATTTGCATTCCGTGTGCATTTTGATCCAACTTAAAAGATGCTTTGAATAGCTTACATCTCAATTTATAGTCACAATATTATTTACCTTACCCACAGCAACGCGTGGCTGGGTCTGCTGATATAGATTAAGATTATTGAAAGCTAAGGGGCGAATTGTAGTCGAAGGAACTGGGGGAGATTTTAGTCAGTATGAGTCTGACACTCCCTCTCGCCTTGCCCTTGGTTAGGGAAGGCATTTAATGATTTGCTCCTTACAAAAAAATATTTAGTGATATAGAATAAAAATATGTGATGGGTCGACAAACGAGCAGACGGATTACCTGATAGTAAGTAATCATCGCCCATGGACGGACATCAAAGGAGTTACGAGTACGTTGCCGGCATTTTGGGGATAAGGGTTTCGGATGTTTAAAGATTAGTAGGAGATGGGGAGAGGGATTGGTTCTTCGGTAACCTCACTCACAGCGAAACAACGCTGTGGTTGTTTCACGCCGTTTTTTGTGAGGCTGTGGTATCACTCCAGTCGAGCCGGTTCTCCCACGTTTCATTTTTTATGAACGCAGTAATAAAAAGATGAACGATTTTTTAAGTTGAAAAATACCTAACAACAACCAACTAAATACAATATTTAATTTTGTTCGACGCTCGGTAGCGCCGGAACGGAAGTTGGTCCGGAACAGATAGCGTACCGATAACGGAGGCTGGGTGAAAGGCCGGCTCCCATTGTGCTGATAACAAACATTAGTTTACATTGTAAAATATCTAAACATACAAAGAACGAAAGAAAAATATTTATTTAGCACACAGACACTACAGTGCAGTGAAGTTAACCAAATAAGTGTGATAAAGCGAAGCTTTGGCACGAATGGGTCGGCTCGACCGGAGTGATACCACGGCCTCACAGAAAACCGGCGTGAAACAACCACAGCGTTGTGTTTCGCCGTGTGAGTGAGGTTACCGGAGGCCCAATCCTTCCCTAATTCCGAAATCCCCAAAAGGTCGGCAACGCATTCGTTACTCCTTCATTGATGCGGGTGTCCATGGGCGGCGCTGATTGCCGACATATCACATAAAAAAGAAATTACACAAACCATTTACACAATAACAGAGAAAATAAAAAAAACAATATAAAAAAATATATATAAAACACTGCGTGTCTCATGGCTGCGTGAAATAAGTCAATGAGGCCTACCATGACCTGTTAAAGCGTCAATCTTCCAGGCGAGAAAGAGGGATGGAGCTATACACCTTTTATAGCTCTATCCTTCTTTCTCGCCCGGAGGATTGAGGCTTTCAGTTTAGCAAAAAATGCCAGACAACTATGTTGCCTTACGCTGGTTTTTAACTGAACCCCAAAACTAAGTGGTACATATCTATTTCACTACTCATTACTTTCCTTTTCTCGAAGGAAGTTGGGCATAAAATCTTACTACATGACCTTGACCTTGTTTGACCTTTTAATACTAGTAATTCGAGACTCAATCGTTAAAGAATAGCAGCGCGATAGCCGGCGCTAGCACAAACCCCAAGGTTTGATGAAGTCCCCGAGCGTACAGCACGTAGCTTTCCGCGCGCCCCTCAAAGAGCCAATAGACCATAGGTCATCAGCCCTAATGTGATGTACCACCGTGGCCTCGGCGTAGGAACGGGGCGTTTTTAGTTAGTCAGGGTCTGAACTTCTCGCCCAACCCTGGGCGGGAGAAGTCACTTGATGATTTTTCCCCTCACAAAAAGAATAAAAAAGTTTGAATTTAAAAAGCACCTCACTTAGGGCTGATTTTTCAATGCTTAGATGAAAGTTACCTGGGGAATAATTATGATGCTGTCGCGTCAGAATGTTTGTATAAGACAGTGACAGCAACAATTGTATTCCTCAGATAACATTTATCTGACTATTAAAAAATCAGCCCTAAATCAACATGCCTAATGAATATTCTCTCTTTCAGTCATCAGAAACAGCGGTGGGTGGTATAACAAGGCCGGCAAGCACGGCTCTCTCTCGCAAAGAGAGTTACAAAGCACAGAGACAGCACTACAGAAGAGAAAAGAAGAGAGCAGCGTCAGCACTACTCCATTCCATTGAGGATCCGTCGGTCGTCGTACTAGCCGATTGGTTGAAGGTGAGTTCCCTTCTCTGTCATTATACAGACATAGTTGTAAAAGAGGCAGAAGAAGAGAGAAGAAGAATGCAGTGTCATCATTCCTCTATTCTATTAAGGATCCCACGGTCGTCGTACTAGCTGCTTGGTTATAAGTGAGTTCCCTTCTCTGTCATTATATAATATATAGTTCTATAAGAGGGAGAAGAAGAGAGAAGAAGAATGCAGTGTCATCATTCCTCTATTCCATTGAGGATCCCTCGGGAGTCGTACTAGCTGATTGGTTATAGGTGAGTTCTCTTCTGCGTCACTACTTAGAGATAGTACTACAGGAGGGAGAAGAAGAGAATGGACGGCGCCAATGCTTACCATCAGGTAATCTGTCGGCTCGGTTAGCTAACCTTTCACATAAAAACACCTAAATTTTGCCTTTGACTGCACTGTTGGCACGGTGGGCAACTGGCTGCCGCTCATGGTGTCGCGGGTTCGACTCTCGCACAACTCTGTGTGATCCACAAATTGTTGGTCCGGGTCCGTGTGTGATGTGTACGTGGAATTGTATGTTTGTAAACGCAGCCTCGACACAGGAGAAAATACTAGTGTAAGGCAAAGTTTTTTTTTTAAAGTGGGCATTTCCATTTAAAACCCTTTCGCTATGAATATAAAAATGTGTTTTCTCTTTCTTTCAGGTTCGTGGGTCGCTGAAATCATGGACAAAGTTGTGGTGTGTTCTGAAACCCGGCCTCTTACTGCTCTATAAGAGTCCCAAAGCTAAGGTAAGAATTCTTATTTAGCCTTTGATGTCCTGCAACCGTAAGCGCGGGCCTGCGGTCGGCGAGTAAGGGCAGCTCGCCGCCCGACCAGAACCAGGCCCGAGCGTACGGCGCGTAGCGTTCCGCGCGCGCCTCAAAGAGCCAATAGACCACCACAGACGGGGCCCTATAGGGCTTATGTTCAGCGGAGTGAGGCACCGCGACCTCGGCCCTGAGCAGGAGAAGGAACGGGGGGTTTTAGTCAGTAAGAGTCTGACACTCTCTCTCGCCTTACCCTGGGCGGGAGAAGTCATTGGATGATTTTCCCCTGACAAAGACAAAGCCTTTGTTGTCCTTAACTATCTTTATATATAGAAATAAATCGCAAAATGTGTTTGTACGCTCATAACTCAGCAACGCCTGGACCATAGTATGGGAGGGCCATGCTTCGGCACGAATGGGTCGACCGGAGTGATACCACGGCCTTTTTTTATGTAATAGGTCAGCAAACGAGCAGACGGATTACCTGATGGTAAGCAATCAGCGCCGCCCATGGACATTCGCAACGGAGGAGTTACGAATGCGTTGCCGACCTTTTAGGGATTTGGGATTTGGAGATTTAGGGATTGAGGAAAGATTGGGAGAGGGGGAGGATTGGGCCTCCGTTAACCTCACTCATACGGCGAAACAACGCTGTGGTTGTTTCACGCCGGTTTTCTGTGAGGCCGGTTCTGTCTGGTATCACTCCGGTCGAGCCAACTCATTCGTGCCGAAGCTTGGCTCTTCCACACTTAATTTATTTATACAATACTAGCTACTCTCGCGCGGTTTCATCCGCTGCTCGGCTCCATTTAATCGTAGCGTGATGTTTTATAGCCTATAGCACTCAGGAACATTATAGCTATCTATCAGTGAAAGAATTTTGGCAATCCGACCAGCGGTTCCAAAGATTACCTACCCCCTACATTAAAACTTAAAAAAAAATTTCCTCTTTATAATATTAGTACTTATAGATTTTTTTATATATTTATTTGTATATTTTCATCCACAGAGCAGTCACTGGGTGGGCACAGTTCTACTAACATCCTGCCAAGTGATAGAGCGGCCGAGCAAGAAGGACGGCTTCTGCTTTAAGCTGTACCATCCGCTCGAGCAGAGCATCTGGGCACCAAGGGGACCGCATAACGAGACTATCGGTTAGTATTAAATACTCATATTCAATTACTCACTCACACTAACTTACACACTCATTATAACTCAGTCACACTCGTACTCATTCGCTCACACACTCACTTATTCATCCTCACTCCTCACTCGCTTACTCACACGCTCATACTCATTCATACTCACTCCTCACTCACCCACACACACTCACTCACTTACACACTCACACACACTCACTCACTTGCACACTCACACGCTCATACTCACTCACACTCTCGTATTCACTCACTCACACGCTCGTACTCACTCACACAGACAACCGTACTCACTCACACAGACAACCGTACTCACACACACTCACAGACTCATACTGTCCCGACTCGGCTCGGGAAACATGACTGTTCCACACAAGTGTGTGTTAGAGACCGGAGTGATGCCACGGCACGGTCCTTACAGAAGACCGGCGTGACCAATGACAGTGTTTTGTTTCTCTGTATGAGTGATGTCACAAGTGACGTCCCTAAAAGTCCGAAACCCTTATCCCTTAAAGGTCGGCAACGCACTCGTAACTCGTATAGCTTACCATCAGGTAGAAGGGAGGCTCGTTTGCCGACAAAAAAAACCCGAAATCTCCCCAAGTTGGATTGGAGGGGGTGGGGGTGGGGGATGGTCAGAATAATTGAAAAAATAAAAACTTCCCAATGTATTTTTTCTGTCTTTTTTAACTGATAGTCAGTGTGTTACATATACTGTTTTGCCTTCCACAGGAGCGGTAGTTCAGCCTCTGCCGACGGCGCACCTGATCTTCCGCGCCCCGTCACAGGCCGCCGGCCACTGCTGGCTCGACGGGCTCGAGTTAGCTCTACGATGCAGCAATGCTATGCTCAGGTACATACTACTAGCTCTCACGCTGCTACTAAAGATCATAGCGTGATGTTTTATAGCCTATAGCGCTCAGGAATATGGTAGCTATCTATCTGTGAAAGATATTTGGCAATCCGACCAGCGGTTCCAAAGATTACCCCCTACATACGAACTTACAAACTAACAAATTTTGCCTTTTTATAATATTAGTATAGACTAGCTCTAATCTCGCGTCGTGTTATCCGCTTCTCGATGTTTTACAGCCTTCATCGATAAAATGACTAACGAACACAAAAAGAATTGTGCAATTCCGACCAGTAGTTCCGGAGATTAGCGCTAACAAACTCTACAGCTTTATAACATTAGTATAGATTTAAGAAGGAGGCGGAGCGTGTGAGGTTATATCCTCCTCGCGCACCCAGCTGCCGCACTAGGCTACACCTTGGGCGTCGGGGATCGAGAGACGATCTCCGGCCACCTAGAGCGCGGGTCTGCGGACGGCGAGTAAGGGCAGCTCGCCGCCCGACCAGAACCAGACCCGAGTGTACGGCGCGTAGCGTTCCGCGCGCGCCTCAAAGAGCCAATAGACCACCACAGACGGGGCCCTAAAGGGCTGATGTTCAGCCGGGTTTGCCTGGAGCAGAAACAGGGTATTTTTAGTCAGTGAGAGTCTGACACTATCTTAGATGGTATGGAGGTGTAAGCGGGAAAGGGTGACCGAAGGTCTGCAAATATACTCGAGTGGGGCCTCACATGAAAGCGCACTGAAAGGGAATGTTGATGACTTAATCGAGAGTGCGGTTAGCAATATAAAATAAAATAAAATACCTATAAAAAGTAAAAAATTAAAAATATATTAATAATGGCGACCGTAACAAAATACGGTCTCCCAGCGCGATGTTTTTCTGTTATATTATTACTTTTTAAAGGGATCTTAGTTTCTTGTCGAGGGTTTTTTTTTGAATCAGTGATATTAATATTGATAATATCGCCCACAGATGTTCTCGGTCGCGTCCCGAGCAGACCGTCGCGGCGGACTCGCCCGCCACACAAACGAATTTGTCGCATGAGGACCTCGAAAAGCATTTTAATGAGCACGGTAAGTCTTTAGTTATAAAATATGTACATATATTTTTCTTACACACGCAACACAAGGCAGGATTTTTCGTAGTGAGATCAAATTTGCGTTTTGTGTATTTTCTACTTGAATTTATAAGAAAAAAACATTGTTTAACACGAATTTCTTAAAGCCAAATTCAAAGTTATAATCATTTATTTCAATCAGACCCTCACAGACACTTTTAAACGTCAAACTAAGTGTCAGTCTGTCGGTCAGTCCTCTTAGTGAAGCTATTTGCTCGTTCCAAAGTGTAGATTCCGATGGAGAAGAACGAGCAAGAAACTCCATGGTTACTCTTTTTCAATCAGTTTCAGTCAAAGTTTTTTTATTAAATCGACCTATAACGAAATAGTAGTCAAATCGGCTGCATTGTTGGTGCTATGGCTGGGCAACTGGCTGTGATGCTGTGATCCATCAATTGTTGTTCCGGGTCTGGGTGTGATGTGTATATGAAATTGTAAACGCACCCACGACACAGGAGGGAAAATACTATTGTGGGGATACGTTGAAAAAAATGTATATTTCTTTATAATTATGTTAATTATTCTATCATACTCCCCTACGAAGAATCTTGCCGATGTTCGTGCCGGACATAGTTTGTACTGGGATCATATATAATGTCTTAAATAAATGCTCTAAGTTCTCTAAAAATCTAAGTTAAAAAAAAAACAACTGTATAAAGATATTTAAAAAATAAAACCGCACATTCATCTATATATGCATTTACTGTAAGAACTTAAGTTTTGACGATTTTTTATCAATAAAAAAGAAAATTATTATAATTATGTAGGTACTCTGAGAAAAAAATGAATTGGCATTTTACTTTCTATTTAATAATCAAAATTTCTTTATTTAGATATTTAGGGTTGATTTTTCAATGGTCAGACAAAAGTTGCCTGGGGAATAATTATGATGCTGTCGCGTCAGAATGTTTGTATAAGACAGTGGCAGCAACAATTTTATTCCTCAGATAACATTTATCTGACTATTGATAGATTAGCCCTTAGTGTACTGCGATCAAGGTAATAATAATAATACTTCAAAGAGATTTTTTTCTTCTTATGGCACATTTTTGTTGATTTATCACCATTTTATTATTTCTATTTAAGTTTATGCTTGACTTAAATAACGGGTAATTTAGCGTACTGTTATTTGAAAGCCCGTTAAAGCGACTATAAGTGATCATAAACTGATCACTAATGATCAAGCGAAGATAACTGGTTTCATATATGTATTTGGTGATTGGTACTTAGTGGTTAATCAATATTTTAACACGCTATTGTACTCATGATAACACTTACACCCGGTTCCCGAAAGGCCGATCAATGTTAAAATATCTCTTGTCAAGTCATCTGATTGGTTGACTGAATTATCAACAACCACTCAGATGACTTGACAAGAGATTTAACAGGAGATTAGTTAATTTTAGCGTTGACAAGCCTTTCAGAAACCGGGTTTTAACTTTTCCAAAGAAACTTTTGTTCTATAGTCAGTAGTTTTGTATTTACATACATTTATTAAAATTACTCTAAAATTACATTTTTAAATATTACTATAAAATAATATTTAAAAATATAAAAGTAGGAGCCAGCCGGCAGCGGGAGCAAGGTCCAAGCTACCGGCAGTTAGGGCTCCAGAGACAGGAACCTCCTCAGAATACGTGCCGTTTTAAGGAGGACTGCCTTCTGTATGAGGCCCTTGATCCATCCGCCTAACGTCAGCCTCTTAAGGTGGTTGTCGAGGCTTTTGGGGACTAACCAGTTTGCCGACACAACTATCGGCACAACGATAGCCGAGTCCACACTCCACATGTCGACAACCTCGTGAGCAAAGTCAAGATATTTCAATTGTTTATCTTTCTCGAGTAGCGTTTTCAGGCGTCCGGATAAAGCCGGACGTAGGTAGGCTTTTTGATTGCTAGTCCGGCCAAAATAAACGGTGTCCGGCCTGTCCGGCTTTTGTTAGGCTTTTTACCTAAACTTTTCACAATCGCAAACGAGTGAAACGAAACACCGAACATGGCTGGAGCGAAGCAAAGACTTAGACTTGTTAATTAATTCATAAGAATTCAACAAGATTTATGACTATAATAAAAAATGCTTGAATTACATTAACTCTTGTCGTACCTATTAATACTGAGATACAAAATCCTTAAGAATGTAGTGTGTCCGGCCTTTTTAGCCAAATGTCAAACGGGCTTGTCTGTCCGGCTATAAGCTGGCAACCCTATAATGAGAAATGGCAACATCGATTATCGTCGTGCGACGCGCTAGTCGGTCGGTTTAGTTTTGTTTTTAGCAAGAGCTAAATTATTGTGCGAAGTTCAAACGTGGTCGCGAGGGGCCTCGCCGCTAACAGCTGATCGGACGACGTACGGCGGGCACGCCAAGTTTGTTATAAGTAGTAATAAAAATAAAACTAATTAGTATAGAAAAACAGTTTCTTTGGGAAAGTTTTTATAATAACTATCGTGAGACATACTAAATTAACTAAAAATCGCGGGTTACTCACCTGTATACATAGAGAAAAGCTCTACTAGTTTCGAACCACAGAGGGGTTCTTCCTCATGAGCAGCGTGCGCGGACGCAGCCTACTGGTTAGCGTTGGCGCCTGCATCGCTGTTGATGGTTGCGCTGCGGCGAGTCCAACGCGCCATCTGCCGGATACCACGCGCGTTTGCTTCCATCTCCGGCGGCGGCGCGTGTGACGACGTTGAGGCGCACGGTACGTTCACCAGTGGCGCGGGTAGTGGGTTCGATTCCGGGCCCGGCACAAAGTCAGTGTTACATATGACGCTTACTGTGTCACACTCCAGACTGGATACGCTCCGGACCGACGTAGTCGCCGCGTCCGCGCACGCTGCTCATGAGGAAGAACGACCCCTTTGTGGTTCGAAACTAGTAGAGCTTTTCTCAATTACAAACGTGAGTAACCCGCGATTTTTAGTTAATTTTCTTTGGGAAAGTTATGTGTTATCATGAGTACAATCACGTTTTAAATATCTGTCACTAATTACTTACTATCTTGATGTGCTATTGCCTAAAATCTAATATAGATTTAATTTTGTCTTTTACCTTATTCCTTATGCACGTATCGCTAATGTAGCGCTAAAATTCTCGGAGCCCTCATCGCATAGCTCACCCCTAATGTCGATATCGGATTACTCCCCTAAAAAGCAAATTTCCATCGATAGAAAAGTCACTTATCAAGTACCCAAAAAAAGTAAACCCCGGAAAACTAAATGGGCCCAGTTTATGGAGTCAATTGAAATACTATCCAAGGATCATGATTCCAGCGATTCCCAAGAAAGGGATAGCAGGTTCTTGGACTTTCTAAAAAAGAAAGAGACGGGTATAGGACGCAATTCGACGTCGACGTCGTCGATGAAGATCGAGAAAGAGCCGAAAATCAGAAAGCAAATGAGCAAAAGTCTAGCCTCGAGCCCCTATAAGATTGAAGTGAAAAAATCGCCCATTCTAAAATGCTTGGAGTTGCCAAGAATGTCCACTTTGGACCGATCCAAAGAGAAGTTACCCTCAACGAGTCTTATCGAAGAGAATTTCATCAAATTCATGTCCTCAACTTTCCCAAAACGCCGTAGTTCCACCCCAATGATGGTCACGCAAAAAAGAATCGGCGAATTACGAGAATCTGGCATCAAAACTGACTCGGAGAACGATGACGTTTTTATTAAAACGAAAGGGAAACTCTATAAAGGGTCGGAGATCATTTGCGATACGCCTGAAAATATTATTATTAAAACAGCGCCATCTGTTGAGAGAGTAAGGGCTTATAGTTCTTCATCGTCGGATGAAATGAGGGAGGAATATAGGTCAGTATGACTATTGGGCTTTTAAATGGTTTAGTAATTTTTGGTTTACAGATAGGTTAAAAGATTATTTCAGTACAGATGACATGATGCAAACGTTTCTTGGTCATAAAATAGTCCCAATAATTCAATGCCAAAAACGGAATTTATAAAAACTAGATTCCGCACGCGGCTTCTCCCGCGTGGTATGTTGATAAAAAGTAGCCTTTGTCCTATTCCGGAGTGTATCCTATGCCTGTGCCAGTTTTCATCCAGATCCGTCCAGCCGTTTTGGCGTGATTGAGTATAAAACATACAAACATGGTAACTTTCGCATTTATAATATTAGTAAAATAAGATGCAAAAAATGTATTCGGGTCGGATATTAATTTAAAAACATATTCTTATAGGAAAACGATATATCCTCCTTTAATCAACACGCCGGATAAATATTCGGTAATAGATTATGAAAAATTACCATCGGCGAGTTACAAAGCGAGCAACGCCGAGCGACGAGACGATAGGTTTATAACACAAAACGTATATGTCGCCGGAAAAATTGTCCGAACTGGTAAGAAAATTAAAAAAAAAACAACATAAATCTGCATAAATGTAAAGTAATCGTGAGATGTATTTTAATTTACATAATGAATACAGCTTACTATAATAACTGTAGTATTTGGTAATGCTCGATAAGTTTCGGGTTCATAATAATTATGACTCCCGGTTGTGACTTGAAACTTGTCGAGTGCCCTCGAATAGTTACGCGAGATTGATTTAATAATTTTTGAATTAGAAATGTAAAATGGGGGAGTAATCCAACGCTATTATCACTTACATAATTTATTAAGGGCTGATTATTCAATGGTTAGATAAAAGTTACCTGGGGAATAATTATGATGTTGTTGCGTCACAATGTTTTTATCAGACAGTGACAGCAACAATTTTATTCCTCAGATAACATTTATCTGACTGTTGAAAAATCAGTCCTTAATTTATTTTAAGTCGGGTTGGCTAATTATTGAAAAGCTAATTAAGTATCGTGTTTCAGTTTGAAGCTAATGTTTTTTGTGTGTTGGTATTATTTGTAATGCTAGTCCGATTGATTTGTTGTGTTCTCCTCATGAATTGATTTGTTTTTTCAGTCAATATTAATATTTTTCGATCAGTT